CCCTTGAGGCCCACTGGCATTAGCCAGTCTATGGGTGCGTTTCCCCCTCCCCTAGGCGGTTTCGAACCGTCCCTTGCCCAAATGTTCAAAAAAAAAAAATCAACTAATTTATTATTATTATATTTTTAAAATTTTTACCTAAACTAAAAAGTTTACTAGATTTTATTGACTTTAGTTAATTTTTTGAGAATAACTATTTGAATTGATTTTTGTTTTAACCAAAGATTTTTTTCAGTCTTTTTATGATTTTTAATTTTTTAATTGTTATTTTATTAATTTCAATTATTAATAGAAATTGTTCAAATAAATAAATAATTTAGTGAAAAGTGATGAGAAAACTTTAAAAAAATATAAAAGTCTTTGAAAAACTATATAAAAGGTTTCTAGGCCAAATTGTTCAATTATTTTATTAATTTATCAATCATATGAATTTTATTAGTTACCATGATTATTAGAGGATGATATAAACCAAAATCAAATTGTAGTGGCGTTTTTTCCAACCTGAAAAGTTAAACTAAAAACTTTAGGTGATGTTTAATGGTTTGGTTAAGTAGGGATCATTTCTTATGAATCTTTTATTAGCATACAAATATTTTTTTATATGCAAAGATTGTATAGATTAATTCTTAAACTTATAGTTAAAAATATAAATAACTCAATTATTAAATTACATCTAATAACAATATAATATAAATAATTTACCTTTTAGCTAGAGTTATATATAAATAAAAAGTATAACTAAAATAAATAAGATTTACATTTTATCCAAAAAAAAATGTAACTAAGTAAAATTTAGGGGTGTTCATATCCGATCCAATCCGATTGATCCGATCTAAATTGATCCAATCTAATCAAAAAACCGATCCAAACCAATATAAAATTGGATTGGTTTAAATTATAAAATTTTAAAACTAATATAATTGGTTTGGTTTGTGATTTCATTTTCAAACAGTTTGAACTATCGGATTGCAAAATAAAATCTGATTACAAGATAAGTTAATTAAATAATATAATATAATTTTTTGTAGTATTTTAATTTTTTTTTATTTTACAAGATAATTACTTCATTAATTTAATTAAAAAATAAAAATAAAACATCTTCATACTCCTTAAGTTATTTTTCCATTTTAATCATGCACCCTAACCCTAATTCTAAATTTCTAATTCACTTATAACTTTATCCCCTGAAAATTGGTTTGCCCCTTTATTATTAGAATCATGAATTTCTAATTTGTTCCTAAAATAATATTATGATTCTCCTAACTAAGTTTTAAAAAAGTATTATTCTAAAAGTTTTAAAACAATATAATAAATCTAGTCTTGATATTCTACTATTATTGGATATTTGGTTTAGAAGTTTTAAATTTCGATTATAAACGTTTCTAATCAATTTTAGTGATATTTATGTTAAATTTTATTTACTTTTAACAAGATTTAGAAGATGTGATTAAATTATTAGTGCATTAAGGAAAAAAAAAAACTAATTTTAACCTTTAAAAATTATTTACGCTGTGCTAGAAACTTGAAGTAATATTTTATTGTTTTTGGTGCCTCTAGTGATGTAACCAAGAAGAATTTTCAAAGCTTTTTAATTTTTACAAATGTAAAGGAGTATAAAATCTTATTTATAATTTATACATTTTATTATGTTTTTACAAATTTAGATGTTAATATGTTTTATAGTTATGTTTTCTATTTGATGTTAAAATATTTTTACATTATTTCATATATTTAATAATAATAAAAACCGATCAATTCGATTAAACCACACCATCCTATTTAAGTTGGATTGGTTTGGTTATTATATAATAGTGAATTGGATTGGTTTAAAAATTTTATTAACCGATTAAATTAGATTGGTTTAAAAGATATTAAAATCCGAACCAAACGACACCACGAACACCCCAAGTAAAATTTATGTTTTTTCAGCTGATAACAAAGGAAGTCTAAAAAAAAAAAATATGACGGTTTTATGAATTTAAACCCAAATTATACTAAGTTTACTTATCAATTTTTTTCTTGATTTTTAAACCTAACATATAAAAATCAGATCAATTGAGGTTTTGTTTGCTTTGAATTTTAATAATAATAATAAAAACTAAAAGTCCTGTTAAACTCAATCCGTTACTAATTTTCCCACCATTTCTACTCACACAAACTCAATATTATTCAAACTCGTTACTCGTGTTCAGAATAATTGAAATTTGTAACTTTTCTACCATCTCTATCCATGCAAACTCAATATTATTCAAACTCGTCACTATTTTTCCATCCCCATGTATAGGGTGGGTATGCATCGGTTTCAATAGTCATCCAAATCAAATTATTAATCAACTAATTTATTATTATTATATTTTTAAAATTATTACCTAAACTAAAAAGTTTACTAGATTTTATTGGCTTTAGTTAATTTTTT